ACTTATAGGCTGTGTTTTATAAGATCGAAAAAGAAAGTTTATTCTTTTTTGCTAAGATGTTTGCTATTCAATGGAAGACCTTGGGACGAAGTCACAACGATCGGTTATGAGATAGAACACTTTGAAACATTCGCGCCGAAGTCACTTTCTCTGCTATCAATATTCATCAATTCTGTCTGTAAGCCCGATGTTTGAATCACCAGAGACAATAAAAGTGACTTAATAACAACGTATTTTTTAATAAATTTGTAATATTCAATGAGCAACAATATGAGACTGTCAATTGAACTTAAAAAGGTTAATTAGAAAAATGTGCAATATATGTCAAGGTCAAGGTCATTGAATCTGCTTCCTCTATACTGTTTTCTTGTTTTTTATCAAAGATGTGAAGACCACTTCAGGTTTTTTAATTTAGTCAAAGCTAATAGGGTGTTCATGAACGAGACTATACAATAAAATATATGGAAATACACAGTTTCCACAGAATTGAACATTTATTATTAGAATGATAATGAAACAAGAATCATTATGAAATGAAAGGAATTTATAAAAATTCTTTATGGCTCAGAAGTTGGTTTTACAACCATTTTGAATTTTGAAAATCTGACTTCAAAGCTTCACGAACTGACGCGAACTTTGGCCTGATCCTCGACCTAACAATTTATCATAATTGATATCTCATCATAAGGTACCATTTTGCACAAAATTCAATTCTAGAAATATAAACGTGATCACTTGATAACTGTAATATAAAATCAGTATTTTTAAATTTTTTTAATTGTTTAAAATTCCATTCGAAAAATTCTGAAAAAATTTAGAAACGTGCACGCCTTCAGGTAGAATGACGATGATTTTTTTCATAATTAGATATTCCATACAACAAAAGAAGTAGAGCATAAATTGTAAATTACCTTTCGCCTTGTAACTACCCTAATAGTGGGAGTTGCGGGTTAATATTCGACAGAAAAAGTGTTCTTCATGGGGCCTATTGATACGTTCAAAATTGAATTTAGTTTTAGGGACACTTTTACTTTCACTACCAGATCAAAGTTTTAATTTTAAATCATTGTGAACTAAATAACTTTAAATTTGTTTCAGTGCTTATTTTTGTAACCTTGCTAAAATCTACAAACTTACCCAAATTTATTTCCCTCGACACTTCAACTTGAGAATTTGTCTAGTTCCATAGTGGAAAATCCTGTCAAAGTGTTAAATAAAATGCATCGAAGATCTAAAATGTTTGGAATTTAATAAAAATTTCGGAACGATCGTTGGACGATTAATGGATCACGTAGTCAGCGACTGATACGCGCGGTTGTGTGGTTGAGAAGCGCAACGCCTGGCGGAAATAACCACCGGCGCGGGCGACAGTTATCGTCCAGGAAACACATCTCATAATTTCTTTGCAGCGGTCATTAGACGGAACAGCGCGCTGGTCTTCCTCAGCGCTTGATTCTTTCCCGTCTCGATCGCTGCCAGATACCGGAGATTACAGCCCGGGGTTTTCCGGTTTGGTTCTCCAGTTTTCGCGTTCCGTCTGGAACCAGCCGGAACGCGATTAACGAACCGCGTGCTGCGAGCGTGTGCATCGCCAGACTGCCGGAGTGAGCATTTTTATGGGCCACCGCGCGAGAAAGAAGAATATCGGTGTTTGGGAGCGGCGTTCAACCTGTTAAATTGCATTTCGCGTTCGGCTTACCCGGGATCCGTTACGACGGCGCGTCGTCACGTGACCGTGCCCGTACACGGCCGCGTGTGAAAAAGCGCCAACCAGCCAAGAATTTTTTCGTAACGCGCCTGGACGCCGCTAGAAACACCGTCCCGCGGCCTCCTCGAAATTCACGCTTCGTTTCGAATTCAGGGACCGTAGGACCGATGCTTGATGGACGGGGCATCCGAATCGACGAACCCGAGAGGAAGAGATCGCTGCCCTCTGTAATCCTCGATCGTTCACAATATACATATCTCTTCAAATCCCAGGTATTCAGGGACGATGACCCAAACCTGCGGTTGCAACTAGCAGAACCCTGAGGTAACATTCGCGAATTGGAACAATTGATCTCGTGATAGCAACCTTAGCTTCGTCTAGTTCAGGAACGATTAATTTTAGTTGAATTTAGTTCAATGTTTGTGCTTTTGGTAATGTGCAGACTATACTCCAAATTCTGACTATTCAGGGACGATGATCCAAACCTGCAGTTGCAACCATCAAAATCCAGAGGTAGCATCTTTCGCGAATTGGAACAATTGATCTCGTGATAGCAATCTTAGCTCCGTCTAGTCCAGCAACGATAAATTTTAGTTGAAATTTACGAAATTTTATAAAAACAAAGGTAATTATTATCATCATCGATCAAGATGTGACAGATAATTAAAAAATCTCAAGAAAATATCAATGTTTGTGTTTTTGGTAATGTGTTTACTATACTCCTTCAAATTCTGACTATTCAGGGACGATGACCCAAACCAACGGTTGCAACTAGCAAAATTCAGAGGTAACATCATTCGCGAATTGGAACAATTAATCTCGTGATAGCAATCTTAGCCCCGTCTAGTCCAGAAACGATAAATTTTAGTTGAATTTAGTTGAATTAGTCAATGTTTGTATTGTTGGTAATGTGCAGACTGTACTCCAAATTCTGACTATACAGGGACGATGACCCAAATCAACGGTTGCAACTAGCAAAATCCAGAGGTAACATCATTGGCGAATTGGAACAATTGATCTCGTCATAGCAACCTTAGCTTCGTCTAGTCCAGTAACGATAAATTTTAATTGAAATTTACGAAATTTTATAAAAACAAAGGTAGTTATTATCATCATCGAGCAAGATGTGACAGATAATTAAAATATCTCAGGAAAATATCAATGTTTGTGTTTTTGGTAATGTGCTGACTATACCCCTTCAAATTCAATAGACATACCTCCGAAATCCGACTCACTTTCGAGAAAAAAATTCGAGCAGGTGCCTTTTATCGGCGAAATTAAAAAGTTTCAAATTGTTCTGAAAAAATTATTTTTGGTTCCGGGAGTCAATTACAATTATTTGTGGTCAATAGACATACCCCCGAAATTGTACTCACTTTCGTGAAAAATATTCGAACAGGTGCCTTTTATCGGTGAAATTAAAAAGTTTGAAATCGTTCTGAAAAAATTATTTTTGTGTACAAGGGCCAATTAGCATTATTTTTGGTCAATAGACATACCCCCGAAATCCTACTCACTTTCAAGAAAAAAATTCGAACATGTGCCTAAATTTTTCGGCGAAATTAAAAAATTTCAAATCGTTCTGAAAAAACTATTTTTGGTTTCGGGAGTCAATTACAATTATTTTTGGTCAATAGACATACCCCCGAAATTGTACGCACTTTCGAGAAAAATATTCGAACAGGTGCCTTTTATCGGTGAAATTAAAAAGTTTGAAATCGTTCTGAAAAAATTATTTTTGTGTACAAGGGCCAATTAGAATTATTTTTGGTCAATAGACATACCCCCGAAATCCTACTTACTTTCAAGAAAAAAATTCGAACATGTGCCTACATTTTTCGGCGAAATTAAAAAATTTCAAATCGTTCTGAAAAAACTATTTTTGGTTCCGGGAGTCAATTACAATTATTTTTGGTCAATAGACATACCCCCGAAATCCTACTCACTTTCGAGAAAAATATTCGAACAGGTGCCTAAAGTCGGCGAAATTAAAAAGTTTGAAATCTTTCTGATCCACGAACTTCCACATAAAAATTTTTAATATTTATTTTTTTTTAATACATTCTGCCTAAACATGTGTACTTTATATTTTCAATGCCTTGACATTATCACGACTTTCGATTCAATGTTTTGTACTACTACATCTTATCTAAGCTTTCTTAGCTCAGCTGTTGATATACAAACGAAGCAAAGACATTAACGTCTCGAGAAAGTTGTAATCTAAAATTCTTTAACAATATCCTTTCAAGAAACCTGGTAACGCTACAGAAATTTTACAACGGTTATTTTTATTTCGACGAAGCTAAAATCAAACGTGGATCCGCGATTTCCTGTTCGACATAAACTCTAAATCTTAGTCACGAATGGACTCATCGATCTTAGTGCAAAAAAGATTTGCTAGAATTGAAAGTAAAAAAGTCTCGGAGAATTCTGACGTTTTTTCTAAGCTTATCCTTGTCTAGTAGAGCGAGTCGCGCAAGGTTTCATCCGGTTTGTTGCGTTATCTTCATAAAAACATAAATTTAACTAAATTCTACAGGAACAAGACTTTTATGTGTCTATAAAAAATTTAGTATACTCGTCTCAAAGCTCTCTCAGACCACCAGTGATAGAACAAATTAAGCTGATCAAGTTACGTAGTTTATCATGTACCATATGTGGTAATAACAAACACTCTATTTTGAATAATAAAACTAGTAATAGGCAACCTAGAAACACACAAGGGCCAGTTAAACGAGAGTCTGCAATAAGTAAATAAATAATATTTAACAATGTTATTCCGAGAATCGTTGCATGGAAATGATCCATGAGCTTCATCGGGCCGCCAAAAGTGGTCCATGGAAAAGAAACGTTGAGAATCTAGATCTCGAAACGCCAACATCTCCGAGACGACGATCGATCAATAATCGAAACTTCGACCGTGCAAAAACCAAGAGGCAAAAGAATGGAGAAATAACTTTCACAAGTTCCCGCGACCGTCAAACAGCCGCGCGACTAGTCATCGAGTGACGGCCGCGTCTAATGTATTTTATGGCAATTCGCGATAAGCGAGTCGACGCAATTTATTGTGTCTTATCGGCCGTCAGGTGGAAAAGCGCGATAGTCGGCGTTTGGAAGTCGTGACTACTCTACCCCATGAAGCTCGAGACTGATCGCGTAGAACGAGATCAATTACAAAATCCGGTACTCGAAGTTCGTCGTTAAGCCGATACAGAATTTCCCCTACTTCCTTATTATTGAAGTACTGTATCGGTTCTAATTTTACCAGTGGTAACTCTTGGTTCGAAGCGGATCGCGATCGGGGACGTGGAATTCCCGGCGCGGGTCTCGATCATTGTGTTTCGACGTTCGAACGTGAGAATCGCGCGACGATCGATTTGATGTCTTCTGCCGATCGCGACGCGTGTATGGATCGTGAAACGTACATCGGAGAAAGTGGCGGTTCGATGATCGAGAAAGGTTACGCTAGTCACGAAACGCGGTTACCGGTTTGGGCAGATTGTCCTTATCAGTGATACACGCTATCTACGCGAATGATTGTCATTCGGCCCACGAAATACTTATGCTCGTCAATTACGACGGTATCACTAAGAATAATTGCCATTCTTATTCATCGGTTACGAAACATGTGTTAGCAAGGTTCGCGTCAGTATCGAGAAGCGACTGCCACAGAGAACATTGTCTTGCTGTTTCGTTGCTCTGGAGATGCACAGGAAGATGTCCGGGACCGTGAACTCAGCATTCGAGGTGTTTTCTGTTCGATATTTCTTGTTAATCTATAGTGTTGTTCAATGTTGCCCCTTTAGACTGTTTTTATCGGTAACGCTTTCCCTCGAATCTTACTCCGTTCGTGAAAACGTTGTTTCTACAAATCGATTGTATCCGATCGAGGCTTTAGGCGGTACCAGTCGAAAATCTATCGATCGTTTTGGATAAAGTTTCGTTATTCCTGCAGGACAGCGAGCTGAACGTGCTGGAAACTGGTCGGTGGATCGATGAATCGACCAAAGACAAGGTATGTAACGTATATATGATTGTTTTTAGCAACTACAAAGGAATGGAATTAATCCTTGAAATCTTCAGTATCGTGCGTGTCAGCGATAAAATACGATGTTTCGTTAAGATTATACGTGATTAAACGAGAATTGACAAATAAACAAACGCCCAAATGATAAAACAGTGAGAACGTATACAGGGTGGTAAAAAACAGGGCTTCTAACTCTAAGGGCGTATAGTACTAGTCAAGAGAAGTAAAAAATGTTTAATGACCGTCCTAAAATCAGTCCTTTTGGTGTAAAATTAACTATTAATATTTATAAATGTTTAAAATCGTAAGCATAACTCTCTGCGATACACCGAATATAAACAAAAACTATGTAGATACAGATAACACTTATCGCTCTGAACTTAAATACTAAAAATTTCTACTATGTATACAGGGTGTTCGGCCCCCTCTAGCAAAAATTTTAATGAGCGATAGTAGAGGCCAAAATAAGACGAAAATCAAGAATACTAATTTGTTGGTGGAAGCTTCGTTAAAAAGTTATTAACGTTTAAAGTGCCGCTCTTACTGAATTTTTTTCTCGAAAATGCGCAAGATTTCGGGGGTATGTCTATTCACCAAAAATGAACCCTACAACCGAAAATAATTTTTCCACAACGATTTGCAATTTTTTAATTTTCTCGAATAATTTCACACATTCTCTATTTTCTTTCTCGAAAGTGGGCAGGATTTCGTGGGTATGTCTAATGACAAAAACTGATTGTAATTGACCCCCGCAACCGAAAATAATTTTTCCACAACGATTTGCAATTTTTTTTCTCCGTTGAAAAATTTAGGCACCTAATTGGATTTTCAGTAAGGAATTTTTTTCTCGAAAGTGCGTACGATTTCGGAGGTATGCGTAATGATAAAAAATGATTGTAATTGATCCCCGCAACCGAAAATAATTTTTTTAAAACGATTTGAAAAATTTTTTTTCGCCGAAAAATTTCAGCACCTACTCGATTTTTTTTCTCGAAAGTAGATAGGATTTCGGAGGTATGTGTACTCACCAAAAATGATTGTAGTTGACCCCCGCAACCGAAAATAATTTTTCCAGAACGATTTGAAATTTTTGAATTTAATTGTTAATAACTTTTTAACGAAGCTTCCATCAACAAATTAGTATTCTTGATTTTCGTCTTATTTTGGCCTCTACTATCGCTCATTAAAATTTTTGCTAGAGGTGGCCGAACACCCTGTATATCCATAAAGTAATCTTTGTTGATATTGAAAAGTACTACGTTAATGACCTTAATGTACCTAGTTTTAACTAATCGTTGCTTGTTTATATCCAATGTATAGTAAAGAGGCTTGTTTACGAATTTAAATGTTCATAAATATTAAAAATTAATTTTACATCGAAATTTGACATTTTCTGCTTCTCTCGACGTGCACTATACTCACTTAAAATTACTGATCATTCTTCTATCACCCTGCACACTTTTTCCCTGTTTCTCTTTTTAGTATTATTATTTAGATTAGTAGAATGGCTGGAATCACGTCAGCCATAGGAACTCTTTCTCTAAAATAGATTTTCCTCGAGGATCACTGTAGCTCGTACAATTTTCGTTATTTTCACATGAAAAAAATACTGTGCATACTTAAAATATCGGTAAATATATGTATGAAATCGCAGTCTACGAGTTTCTTTTTAAAAAATAATAAAAAAGGCTTAAAAATTGACAATCTATCTCCTTAACACTAGATTTACAGAGCTCGTGAATGAATTTCAGATTCCATTTTTACAAATATTATTTTTTATTAATTACATTGAATTCGATTGATGTAATGGTATGGATATACCTATGCCCTAATTAAAAAAGAACCCACATTTTAATATAACTGTCAACGTAAACGGTTTCAATAAAAACATGTGCAATCAATGCCTGTAAATTTAATGTTAAAGTTACAGTTACAAACCGTTTTTCTTATTAACTCGAATATTTACAATCAACAAAAAAAGACAAATGCTACTTGTTCTCGTTAAATCAAGTTAAGCTCGTTTTAGACGCGTTAAACGCTTCGATATCAAGCATCGATAAAGTCTATTTGTTTCAACCGAGTACATTGCAGTGCACATAGACGCTGTGAAAAATCAGATTAGCGTTATTTCTTTGTCAGATCGTTAAGACTATTGTTTTCAAACTTGCAGGAAACGAGAACCAAGAATGAGTCAATCAATTGTTTAGCAGCTGGGTACAACACATTGAATAACTTTCTGTTAAAGCATTCTAGGATTTGCAAATTAGTGTTACTGGCTCTATCGAACGCGCTTGTACTGATCTACTTTGTTATCGCCACTCTGTATTGGAGGAACCACAGTGAGTTATCATAATCTCGTTACCAGATTTGGGCAAATGCTCGAACAACGAATATAAGTTTTAGATTCGCTCGTAAACTAACTTCTGATCACGTTCCATTTATAAATTTATCTGTACATTTAAATCCATCGACGTTAAACGAGCAAAGTCGCAGGCAAAATTTAATTTGCAAGCTTGTTCTCTTCGAAAACAAGTTGTCGGTAAATCTAGTGTGAAAACTAAATGTTCGTTTCCATCAGATATCGAGAAGGGACTCAATTGGTGCAACGGTTATGGAATGTTAATTCTTCTATTGGTGGTTGGGTATGGCGGAGTACTTTATAGTTCCATTTTGAAACGTATCCTCCGGAAGATACTCGTTCGATGCAGTCAGCCGTTCCGCCATCTTGTAAAAAGTTTACAAAGAACCAAGTAAGGACGATATTCTTTGACAACGATCAACGATTTCATCGTGATTTTAATGGTGTTTTATTGTTTGCAGGTATGGTAACGTCGCCTGTCAGACGGTGATTTATGCGTGTATTTTTGGTGCTATTATAGTCTTTCTAATTTTCGATACGACCGACTCGAGGGAGAGGTTGGTAAGCGCCATCGGTATCGTTATCTTGATTAGTTTCGGATGGATATTCTCGAAGCATCCGAGTCACGTGAGTAAATCTGGACCAGACTATTATTAACACTTTGACGGCCACTGTCACGTACACAGTATCTCGGAAAAATAACGAAACATTTTAAATTAAAAGAAGAAAATTAGTTATTTTGTAAAAATTATCTTTTTTTATTCAAAATACATCCCTTCTGCATCAATACACCGCTGGGTACATTTGACTAGTGTTAACATAGATTCTTTTATATCATTTTTCGGAATCGCCTCAATGACTCTTGTCAGCGCGTCTTGGACTTGTGTAACACTGTCATAAAACGTTAAAAAAAATAGTCAATATCAATATCAATATAAATAGTCAACCAATATATGCCCTAAAAAACTTTCACGCTGAGTTTGAAACCTGTACCCCTTTTATTTGTCTGATAGTCTTATAAATATAATTTAAATATCAGAGCTACCTCCTTTTCTTATTAAAGCAGAAAAAAGAGTAATATTCACTAATAAGATTTAAAGAAAAAATTGTGCTGCGACCAGAAATGGTCAGAAAAGGCTTAAACGAAACCGTTTGACGATAGTGTAAATAATAGTAAAATGATCGGTTGTTTTCGTCCTCTAGGGTATGAATCTGACTCGTCATAAGTTCTTTATGCCAAGTTTCACAAAGACGAGACTCGTCGCGAAGTGTCATACATTAAAATCAACACATTTCCACATTCGCAAGGTATTCGTGAAACGAAGTTCTTTTCTGCGAACGTTGCATGCACGAATAAATTACAACAAAATGAAATATGATCAATCGTACGTCAAGGAGTTAATCGTGTCTAGAACCTGCACCTTGTAATCGTAATCGTGTCAAGTATCGGTTCGCGGCTAAGATACCTGCGGATTTTTGAATATCAGATTCTAGAGGGACTTTAAATTTCAAGCAGCTCATCGATGCTCGAGAACGATTCAAATACGCATCGTTGCAATAAATATTTCACTATCCAGACATCGGAAATATTACATGCATACATTTTATTTACATGCCAACGAGTCTGTAAGTGTCCTTGCGACGACTCGAGGGCAGATCTGCCGACCAGCCAATGATGTTTCGCTCCTGTATGAAATCATGTAGATCAAATGGAGGCCTGTTTTGTGCGGATTGATTCTACAATTCGTCTTTGGCCTCATAACGATCCGATGGGTCGTCGGGCAGGCGATATTCCAGTGCATATCCGAGAAAGTGACGACGTTCCTGAACTTCGCCAAAAGCGGTGCCAGTTTCATCTTCTCCGAACAGCTGGTCAACGACGGGATATTCGCGTTCGCCGTCAGTGTTTGCTTTTAGCCAGTTCATCGAATTAATGGACAGATTGTATACTAATCGCGCGTGTTGCTTTCCAGACCCTGCCAGTGATCTTCTACTTCAGTTTCTTCATCCAAATCCTCTACTACCTGGGCGTCATGCAATCGATCATTTTGAATTTGGGTCAAGCTCTGCAGAGATTGATGGGGACGTCGATCTGCGAGTCTGTGATCTGTGCTGCCAACATCTTCATCGGAATGGTAAAGGCATAAACAAGTTAACGATTAAGAATAATTGTTCGCCTATTTCAGACAGAATCCCCGTTGCTCATCAAACCCTACCTGAACAAGTTGACTACCTCGGAATTACACACTATTATGTGTTCAGGATTTGGATCGGTGTCAGGTTAGCGAAAAGGAACTTAGATCGATACTTTAATCGGTTCTTCTTATTAGGAGGATTAGTGATTACTGTTTGAGTTTAGGAACTGTGCTGGCGGCTTATATCGGGTTCGGTGCAAACCCGGCTCACTTGATAACGGCGTCCCTAATGGCAGCACCGGCGTCTCTCTGTTACTCGAAACTATTTTATCCGGAGACAGAAAAGTCACCCATTTCGCACGACGACATTAAACTGGAGAAATCGTGAGTCGTGTATGCCGGGCTGGCTTGAACGCAAATTTATATCTGCTAATTCATTCAGGGACGACGCCAGTTTCATGGACGCCGCTAGCAAGGGTGCACTGGCGGGGATTCCCCTGGTTATGGGCATAATCGCTAATATCGTCGCATTCGTGTCTTTTATCGCGCTGCTAAACGCGCTGCTCTCTTGGTTAGGCATGCTGGTCGGTTTCGATGGTTTGACTTTCGAAGTAAGTCGGATAACACCACGACTCTGTTAACCTTTTCGATACTAATTAATGAGGTAGAAAGTTGGCCTGGTTGACTGAACTATTTTTGCATCTTGTTACTTATATTCATATTTATTGAATTTATATGTTAAAGAAGTAAAATGATAAAGCTTCATAAAATAATTTGAACCACTTTGATCGAAAGATGATAATTATTTTGGCTAGAAAGGAGTGATTCCTCGTGAAAAAATAAGTTAAAAATGTAGAATAAAATTTTGTTCTTATAATGCATCGAAAAGGTTAAATGACACTTGGAAATAATTCGTCATGGTTACTACTAGTCGTTTCATGTTTTCTAGTTTATATTGTCGAAAACATTCATGCCGTTGAGTTGGATAATGGGAGTACCCTGGGACAAATGCGAGGAAGTCGGGACTCTGATAGGTCTGAAAACTGTCGTAAACGAGTTTGTCGCTTATCAAAAATTGGGGGAGTACAAAAGGCAGAAGAAAATTTTTGGTAGGACCGAAGCGATCGCTACGTACGCGATCTGCGGATTCGCGAACCCTGGATCTATAGGAATCACGCTTGGCGGGTTGTCTACGTTGGCGCCTGACAGAAAGGAACAGATCTCTAGCGCTGTGTTGAGAGCTTTCATAGCTGGCAGTGCTGTGAATTTCCTTACTGCTAGCATCGCTGGTAAGATATCATCCGAGTATCGATCCCATCGCTATTAACTATTTTACCACCTCATTTTCAGGAATGCTGATAGCCGATCCTCCTTTCGATGCAGTTAACGCAACAATGGCATTGAATATGTCTGTTGCAAATGGCAGCTGCAACAGCTGTTAGTCGAACACATCATGCCTTAAATTTGACGAACACCATTATTTATTTCTTCTGCAAATTATTCATGTAAATACACAGCTGCTCCTTCCCACCGCGTCATTTGACTATCGTTTACGTCTACGTGATAACGTGACACTTGTATCTACAGTAGCGGCCATTTATATACTTACGTGCAAGTAGTATTTTTATTTCTAAATTGTGTATATTGGCCTGGGAAGCTTATGAAAATATCCAATCTATATTATTATTAGCACAGACGAGATATATGAATAGACCTTTCACCTTATGGACTTTCGCGGCCGAATCTGACTGTCATACCGACCTGAAAATTCGTAGCTGATTTTAGCGGCCTCTTCTCATGGATGGCGGTTAGTTGAGAAACTAGGCACTGAATTAGTATTGATGGGCAGCCAGCTGAGTGGGTACGTAAATACATGTGAGTTGATTATGGGAGGGATTGGAAAAGGCAGTGGAGTATTATCAGACGGCAGACCCGTGCCGAAAGGGAACTGCCCCACCACTCACACACACTAATGCCAACCACCTTGTATATGAGTTCTGGCGTTTCGTATAGCTTCGTAGATTCGAGAAAGGCGGCGAATGTCAGTCTATCCTTCTTGCTCTCAACACAGCTGAAATTCGATCTCGCATATTCTCGAGCCGAGATTCTCGACTGCCTAGGCATTTTTGACTTTCCGACCTGTGTAGGCATATACAATGTATAAGCAATATACCATAATGAAGAAAAAATTACAAAAATTTGTTTTTACGGAAATACACGTTTTAAAACGATAATATTTTATGAACATATTTTAACCCTTTGCACTCGGTTGTCCCCTCTGAGGGGACATGAAAGTTTATTAGTGATTAAGGAGAATGAACTGATTTCACCGCAATTTTTTAAGAAACACATGTTTTCCTGTACTTTCCGATTAAAATGGGAAATATTCTATTAAAATGAGAAATATATCAGCCGTTTTTACGTTGGAAGTGGAAGGATTGTCGAGGATGGTCAGAGGCGTATGGTCGGATTCAAACACGTGGACAATAAACGTAACTATATAAACTATATTATTTAATGTTTACTAAAATTATTTAACATAAAGAACATAAAACGTAAACGTAAAAAACTATAAACGTAAAATCGAAACTTCGTTCAAAGTCGAACCATTCCTATTGCTATCTTCGTTATAATCTAAATAAATTAACGTTCTTTGTCGGACAATAGAATGAATAATAAGCTACATATTCCAAATGTAGGCCAAAGAAACCGGGACTGCATTATTTGTTCCGACAGGAAAACACCAGGAGAAAGACGTCAAACAACATTTTATTGTGAAACATGTATAAATCAACCTGCTATGTATATTGGGAATTGTTTCAGAATTTACCATACCATAGAAAATTATGAGAAATAAATTTTTATTTTGTATTGTAAATATGTGTTCTTCAATGTCCATAAATACATATAAACCAAATTTCAACACAATGCCTTACTTGGTTCCAAAGTTGTACCATATAATATCACGACTCAAGGGTTTTCGTTTTCGCGAGAAAGTAGCGTCGAGTTGCTGATAGCTAACGTCCGAAAAGGTGCCGAGTGCAAAGGGTTAACTATTAAAAGACATTTTTTTATAACAGCTGTGCTTAAAAACTCGATTTGTGTAGCCGGCCGCCTGACGGCGGCCACGCATTCATTTTCTATTTCAATTTTCTTTATTGATATTATCAGAAGTGGGAAAGATTTCAGCCATTATTTCGACAAATTTAATTATTAGATCATTAGCATGATATTGTCGACGGAAGAAGAATTCACCTAAATAGCCTACATAATGTATTTGGCGAGTTCCATACTTCAGAATATTCGAACCTTTGACAACAATGCAGAACTAGATTTAGCTCGACACATTATACATTATTTGTCGTCGGTTGTCATACCGACTAATACAAACAAGAGAAAAAAGCAACGATCGTGGACTGATGCAATACAGAGCCACAGATATGTACATATAGACAGAATTCATTGTAGTAGTAGCGATATTTTTGAAGAAAAATCTCGGAAACTAAGGCCGAGCGGCGGTTATATGTATAGGAAAAAGTTGCTCAAAATGTTGATTTCTACAACATATTCAAAAATCATCAAAATCGGTGAGACCTCCCCCTTTTCTAAATAATTGCCAAAATTTGTTACAAATAATGTATATGTATCGAAATAATTATAAAACTAAAAGTCGTATAATCATCATTATCCGGGAGCTGATCACGCTCAAAATCTAATCAGACCTTGAAACGAGAACATAAAACTGAAATGTAAAGTTTCATTGAAATTCATTCAGCCGTTTATATGTAATAGGAACAAAAAAAAAGTCTTTTTTTTTAATAGTCACAATATGATCAGGGGGTCCTAAAACGTGTATTTCCGCTAAAAAAAAATTTCGACATTTTTTTTACATTATGATACTTCATAAATTTCCTTATACCTTACATAGGTCGGAAAGTAAAAATGCTGGGGCAGTCGAGGCTTGGAATCGTATGCCGCTTATCGCGAGGTCGTATTTCAGTTGTTTCTCTTTTACAAGAGCAAGAAGGAAAGGCTCACACTAGCGTTCTTTATTTCACTACGTTAGACGCTAAGGAAGTTCGCCGTCATTACTGTCGATTTCGATGTACTCAATTATGTCGAAATAAGAGATTTTGCCCTTATATGAGCAGCTTTTGGGTCGGATGAGGTCTCATTCGAAAGAGGAAGGTCCAATGCAGTGCGCTCTGGTCAAAATCGAACGAGATTCTGTTCACATTTATTAATATAAACGTCGAAAGTCGAGGAAAAAATGAACGAAATACAGCCGCAGAATCGAGGTATGAGTTAGGGTACTAAAAGAGTTGAACGATTCCAATACTGAATCACCTGCATAGATCCCGCTTCGTGGGAGAGTCTATGTTGAATTTATTGTCAATAATAAGTGAGCAAAAATGAATCAATGATTGAAAGACACCGAGGGAGATAGGCAGGCACGAGCAATGCAGCGCGCGGTATACCGACACAATTCGGCCCGAAATATGGGTTTTCGAAACAAGAAATTTTGTCCTTATATGAGCAGCTTTTCGGTCGGATGAAGTCTCATTCGAAAGAGGAAGGTCCTCCGCGGCTGTATTTCGTTCATTTTTTCCTCGACTTTCGACGTTTATATTAATAAATGTGAACAGAATCTCGTTCGATTTTGACCAGAGCGCACTGCATTGGACCTTCCTCTTTCGAATGAGACCTCATTCGACCCAAAAGCTGCTCATATAAGGGCAAAATCTCTTATTTCGAAACCCCCTATTTCGGGCCAAATTGTGTCGGTTTACAGCGCGCTGCATTACCCGTGCCTACCACGTTTTAAACGTGGACAAAAGTACTAAGTAATGAAAGTAACTAGAAATTAAAAATTAATACTTGATTGGTCCTCTTTTCTTCCTAAGAATGTATATTGTTCTATTTTAGCAAAATAATAGTTTTTATTTGTAATTCATTTTGCTATTTTATTATAAGACTTACATTTTGTGCAATATTATTTTTCTCTCTTCACTTGTAGTTTCTTTCCCTTTTCTCGACATTATTACTTGTTGTGCTTTTTCTGTTGCTAATCGACTGAATTTTAAAATGATTGTTGGAAAAAGTGATTATAGGGGAATCCCCTACCTATACCATCAAATGACAATCGGAAATTTTTCGGGCAGATGCAGCTACACTAAATTTTGTATAATATGCTAATAATTTAGTCACGCATAAAATGATCAAGAAATGTGTTTTTATTATTATTTTATGTTATTAAAGTTTTTCTTTTTTATCAATTTACTGTTATTTTATATAAGATCCCAGCGCAGTTTTGAATGGAACTGCCAAACTAATGAGGGTTTTTTATATGCAGCAATGACGGGGGGTAAGTTCAACCGCCATGTTGTAAATAAATAGGTTTAAAGAAAAGTCGAACATTTCACAAAAATTCATTCATATTATTATACAATATTATTTTATAATAAAAACATTGAAAGGATAAATAATACGTGCCGAACCGTTGAGCAAATCGATTTTTCGCATCCTATTTTATATACTGACTAAAAAGAAATGACTAAACCGCCGTATAATAAAGAGTACGGGAACCTAAACTAAGTGCGTTTTGTACAATTTCAGTAAATATAAATACGATCGTGTATATAAGTACAGGTGCATTGCAAAGCACTGACCAGGTTGTTGTTTACTGGTTTGGAATTATTACATATCACATTTCAAACACGGAATGTTTAGTTTGCATGCTTTCAAGAACAGCTCAAAGAAGCAAGTGCAGCATCTTCATTCATCAATTTCTGATTTTTATGTTTATGGCAGTGTGTGAAGTTCATGGAACTCGTAAAGATTATGGGTACGGTTGAATACATCAGCAGTCACTTCTAACATTTTTGGCAAAACATCAACATTTCTTTGAACATCTGACCCGCAAACCTAAAATAAAAATATTAAGACTCGTGACACGTTACAATTTTTAGTTGTAGAGGCTTACCTTTTTAAACAAAAGTTCTCTGGTAGGCATTGTATACATGGCAACCACTGCTGCTTTTCTAATCACCCATGGATGATGTTTGGCTAAAGTTCTGTTGTACGCATCCTGGCAACAACTAGATGTCTTATCAGAGTCCGAAAGGTCACCTAGCTGTCTAAGAAATTCTCTAATAAAATCTAAGCCTCTATGAAGTCTCAATAAGGTACGGGCACCATTCGTGTAATTTGTCTTAGAAAGAATGTTATTTTCCTTCTCATATAATATCATAGACTTGACGGTAGTGTAATTTTGATCATCTTTGCTCATTAACTCGATAAGTATCTCAATTTTTTGCTTTAAATCAGAGGATACAAAGCCAAAGACAGTGCCCATTAGCTGGAAAAATCTGTATAAAAGTAAGAGAAATTATACTTTGAATATACTATGTGCACAAAAGGAACCAGATGGTAGAAATTCCACCATTTTCATGTATTTGTCATGTTACTTGAACAGAATATGTTACATGGATATGCGCATTGTATCCGCATTAATGTTATGTTAAGAATATATCTTAGGCTAGAAAATAATTTTAAAAATTATATATTAACTAGGCTTAAGTTTAACCTCGTGTCGATTTGAGGTTATGTTCAACGAAAAAAACAATACTTTTCTTACTTGTAGAGTTCATTGTAGGCATCCAGGTAGGCTTTGAGATCAATATCGTCGTCTTGTAAAAGAGCACGGTCAAAGTGATCATGGACTAGCCTCAGGTCAAAGAATGCCAACTCTGAACCCTCCGCCATTGCCGCGTCACCAATATCCAATACAGTACCAGTAAATTAAACACAATTGACTACTTGCCACGCAGGTACAAGCATATGTGTTCATTAGTTCTTACTATCTAAGGGAAATATGGATTGTCAAAGCGACCCCTCCTCTTTTACCTCAAATTTCTTGTGCCTGCAAAACGCTAGATGGTGTTCTTTAAATTTTATCTAGTTTATCATTCCAATAAACAGATTACTCTTTATTAATCGCATTTTAATGTGTTTGTGTACGTGTGCTATACATAAAACGTGCAAAGTATGGATTGAAGTTCGTTATTGAAGTGCAACGATGCATATTTAACACATTCGTGAATACTCGCCACTGCAAGCAGTCATTCAGCGATGGCAGCAATACTTAAGCAATTCAATACCGAACTATCATATTGAAATATCAAGTGTGTACTTTCCATTTTCAATATCGATACTTTGGTAATGAACACTTCATCGATATACTAATACTCTATGATACATTTTATTAGCATTTTCAAATGTCATCAACTTTCGTCGATTACCCTGCAAACGAGGTATATCATAGACATTGCATCACCACGGTATTTTTTCGGTCCATTTCTCTGAGCTAGTGTGATCAGATTTGGCACAATTGAGTGCATCGACGGTGACGCTAGTAACGACGAACTTCCTTTAGCGCCTAACGGAGTGATAGGGAAAGCAGACACATGCTACTGCACAGGTGCGTGTACGTGACCTCGGTACTTTGCACAACGCACAATATCGAGAAATCGAGAAAGAAAGCAAATGTAAGCCTTTCCTTCTTATTCTTGAAACAATTGAAATCCGACTTGCATCAACCGGTATACGAGATCATATATTGCGATAATCAAAACAACAAAGGACCGAAGTGCAGAGTTACAGAGTTTATATTATTTTTGGTGCACTTGCAAAAAATGTGAACAATTAGGTGTACTGGCAGAAGTTGCAATATGTTCAAATAAACTTTGCCTGTATCCATGCACTTTTGATACAAATATGTGTCAAAAATGTTACAACAGTTTCCTGAAAAATTTGAAGAAACCTTTGAAGAGGCATCTAATTTTTGTGCACAACATTTACAAAGCATGAAGAATATGACTTGTGTATCCTTTTCTTCGCTATACTTGATAAAAATATATAATTTCAGGGTATTTTACATTCTTTTGATGCACAACATGTGTAAACTTTATAAAGTGCTTTTGACTTAGCTCTATGTTTGAAACTTTGGAAGCAAGCATAATCCTATGCCAAAAGACTTATTAATGGCTTCTTGTAAGAAAACGATTTTTATGTTTCAGGACCTATTATGGGGAGATTCATAATAATTGCAATTTTGTGAGTAACACCATCGCACTGAATACATCTGATATGGCTAATAGTTTCATTGAATGCTTCGCATCTGTATACACTTATGACATCAACTAGAACCATGATGTCAATTTTGATAGCTGCTTTATGGAAATTTAATCTCATTACACTGATCCATAAATCTGGCGATAAATCTAATGTTACCAATTATTGGCCCAACTCTGTTCAAAATGTAATGCCAAAAATATTAGATGCCATAGTAGCAGGTAAACCATCATCATTTATTTTCGACCTCGTGATAAACAAGTAACGCGGATTTGCCATCAAAAGATCTATTCTTACAAATAGTCTGATGTTATCTATATGCATACAGGTGCAGAAACATATCTCGAAATTTTACATCGCTGACGCGGTATGTATTGTTGTGCCCTGATTCTACAATCCTTATTGGTGGATGGCGAAACAAAACAAAAAAAGAGAAAAGGGTGATACTCTCGCAGGTTAATCGGTGGAGGAATTCTCCGGGTTGATCCGTAGTTGAACGTTCTGTAGCCCACGCACCTGCCTGGTTGTCCAGGCGGCAGGGGAGGTGAACCCCTACGTGGCGCATCCCCAGGTGGCGGATAGGGGAAGCCGCTGGGATGGGATGCGGGGATGGGGTCATCAACCTGGAGTGCTGCTGATCGCATCCTCGCATGGTATCCTGGAGGTAGGAGCTAAAAAAGCTCCCGCGGACCAAACACCGGTATGAATGTGGGGTGGGATGGTAAGCAGCCAGACACCTGTGGTTGAGTGGGTGTGTGGTCGGGGGATTCTGTGATGTCTCACTAATGTTCCCGGTCCCCCGCAAGGCGCCTGATCACTGAAAATGGTCACTGCGGAGTTTTTAGCCGGTAAGAGTCCAGCACTGGGAGGGCCCGCGGGTGTCCATGAGGATTTCCCCGCATCAAAAGAAAAAAAAAGAAAGGGGGGAGGTGAACCCATACGTGGCGTGTCCCCAGGTGGCAGATAGGGGAAACCACTGCGATGGCACGTGGGGGTGTGGTGTTTGGTGCCGAAGGAACTTCGCTCCAACTTCCGGGATGCGAGGATGCGGTCACCAGACCTCTCAGGCCAGATGACACCACCCCCGCACGCCACACTAGCGTCATCTGGGGGCGTGCTATGTATGGGTTCACCTCCCATATCATCCGAATAACGAAACGGGTGCGTGGAGGATGGGTTCCTTATCCTTTTCCCCCCCAAGCGGTCAACGTGTGCAATAAACTATACTACAACTACTAATTCCGAGTATTACCAGCTAAGACTTTGCGCCCGGGAGCGTCCTCATGCTTCTTCGGTCACTTTACGCCGGATGTAGATAACATGCTTTGCTTTGTTTATTGGCAATCACGTTCGGCTAATAGCTCGCTTCAAAGGTATATCAAATCTATATTTCTTAATCCTACGCGTGCTTAAACTCTATTACATTAATTAGCTAACTTTTACTAACCGTAATAATTAACAATGGATAATTGGCAATCGATCAACACATTAAATATAATAATTAACGTCCGAACATGAAATTACCGATGGATACAACGGTCAATTCTCGAACCAACTTGAATATAATATTTGGTGATGTTTAAGAGCGGTTTCCACAAATCTAGTTATTTGCTATCTGGTAACTAACTATACGCAATATAGGGACGAGGGGCCAGAGTGGAGAGACGTACGCTACAAAGAATACTAGCAATGGTGACAATAAAAGTACTTTTAAAAAATATTGTAGAATATGCAAGAAATAGATACAGACGAGCAATAAACAGGAACAGTATTTAGTGGGAGTTAGTTTCCTCCGACGTAAAGTAAAAACGTGTAAAATTAATATTTTTGTATATTCTATACATATTACTTATTTATTATTGCATTCACAAAATGTATATGAAAAGCATTCTATAAAATTTCAATTATAAATTAATATATGTATATAAGTACATATTTTGATCAATCGACTTCCATGAATAGTATTTTTTCAGCCCATTTTTCTGGGGCTCTAGAGCCCCATTACCATTTTCGTGTCACTCGCAACATTACCAACAGATTTAGAAATGAATTTCAAACCCTTCCCCATAGTCAACTCGCATGTAATTACGCACACGTTACAACTGTCTGTCCATCAATATTAATTCAGTGAATAGTTTCTCAACTGATGAGGACGCTAAAATCACCTCCGAATTTTTCGCTCGGTATGGCAATTGTTCGAACTGACGTACAAAAAGACAACAATTAACGAGATACACTCTTCCAAAGTGGAACAAAATGTTAAAAAGATCATGCATCAAATTGTAAGGGGATCTTCGTGAGAAGGCTTTAATCTTCGTAATGGTTTTAATGGGTCGATGATCAACAATGACTTATGGTCACTGGTGGTCAACAGTGAGGTTGGCATCAAGGTCAGCGGTCCAGTGAAGATCCAGAAATGGTCAAGAGGTGGGACCATTCGAAATAGTTTCTGTGTAGACAAGACAGTCTTAACTGTTAACTTTAACTTTGGCTCTGACTGATCTCCCCACCCTTAATCATCTTAGACATATAAGCAGGGTCACTGCGAAGTATTCTTCAGTCTCGTTGCGAATTCGGGAGTGTACAAACGGCCAGAAGAGAACCGGGGACTGCTGCTGACCTCTGCTGGCCGCTGCTGACCACTACTGGCCGGCGCTGACCACGAGTGACCATGGCTGACCACTACTGACCACTACTGACCAGTTCTGACTAGTGCTCCTACCACTACTGACCACTACTGACCAGTGCCGGACGGTGATGACCAACGGTAAGAACTATTTAAAAATTCTCTCCCCTCTTCTATTCTATCGTTTGATACCAATTTCGCTTCAATGAACTGATTTTGCCTTCCTTGTCCAACTGATGTTGCTATAATATGAATATTTTCTTACTTTACAGTTGGCCCAGTGGTAACTACCCTATGTACTGACAACAAGTAGTAAGTCCACTCCACTTATTTATATTTTATTATTTTTATTTGTTTGTTTGATGTGAATGCAAGTTTATTTATCTATCTGATTTTATTTGGTTACTATGAATGTTCCTTTTCTCGGTTTCCACTTTTACATTGTTCTTCGAATTTATGTGATTGCTTCGATATGTATAATATTGCAGGATATATTAATGTAACATTGTTTTCGATCATATACTATATTTGTTTGTATACAATATCATGAATGTTTATTTTTAAGCTAGGTGATAGGTTGATAGGTCATTTTGAAGTGTTTAAAAACCTCCTTTTTAACCCCTTAGCTTAATGATGTTTCAGAGACGTGATGAGTCTACCGGGCCAAACATGAACAAGACGTCTCAGAGAAATGATAAGTCTACCGGGCCAGACCTTGCTGACGCTTTTGGCACAGTTGGAGATTAAATCGTAAGGCAAAGGGGTAAAACGACTGATTGTATACGTGCTTTCTTTGGCAAGTGTAGTTAGTACTTTTTGCTTAAAATTATAATCTTCTTGCGCACCGCGATTTTTAAGATGACAAATGTCATAGTAGATTCATTTTTAATTTGACACTCATTTTAAAATGAATATATAATGAGTACATATACATATATGAATAGTTCACTTTCTCTCGTCCGCTCGTTCTCTGGTTTTCGCTTTCCGAGATTATGTCTCGACCGAAAGGACCGGAGAGTTTTTTGCTCGATCACCTCTGTTTGATAGAATGAAACATGTGACACCTGTGTATTAGGTGTGATAGCTCTTACCGCTTCAACCCCGGTGCAGCTTGGTTCAGCTTAAGTGGGGCCTCACCGAGCGCATATATTCTCCTCTTTATACGGAAAAGAGAATGACCTCCGGTGAGAGTTCTTGACCCATATCCGTTCTCGAGTACTAAGCGGGTCCTGTTGTGATCTTGTGTCCTCCAGGACCCGGCGGTTGTACGTAGAGAGGTCCGATAGACGTGGGTCAGGGGCGCGACTTGCTTTTCTGATAATCAAGGCCGGGGGGGATCAATCTGATACCCACACTCAATGCACGCTATGAGCACGTGTCGCGTCGCGTTTTATTTAAGCGTGCGATGTTTTTACAC